CAGATATGTCATTGTACATTTTTTAATTAATAGTCTATCTTTGTTGTACATAAAGTTTGCAGCTATCTTAAGGAGTAGGTGTACATAGTGCATGTATATAGCACATCTTGATTCTTTTTTGGTCATGGTAGATTTAACTTGAATATATCTGATGACTAGTAATATTTTGGATATTTTCTTATGTGTGTTTTCTCTCCATAGATAAAACTTTAGCACTGTAATAATTACCCAGTAATTCCTAATGTGTGATAATTTGACAGTCATAATTTGTTTATATTTTATGAATTTATCTTGGAACAGAATTTCAAAATAATGGTAAATTTGTAAGCATTTGTATTTATTTAAAGACCACTGAGCATACTTTAGAGTTCAACATCAAACTGCTGGTGACAGTAAGTCCCGGGATATTTACGGAGTGCTTTCCACTTGCCAGGTTCTGTCTGTCAGAATTTCCTTCCTTGTTGCCCCTTTGCTTCTCTCCTCATGCCTTTACCAAGGTCTGGGCTGATGGTTTCTTTACACCTCTTTCTGACCATCTCCATGAAGAAGTTCAGAGGAGCCATTGCTAGGTGCTATGAGTTTTATCATACATGGAATCAGGTGCAAATGTGAATGCGATCTGTAGGATACATACCCAGGAGTATAACTGCTAGATCAGAGAGATCTTGAACATCTAGCCTTGAAAAAAAAAAAAGACAAATTCTCCCCGTAATAATTCTATGAATTTCTGTCCTGTGTATGACATTTCTTGCTGCTCCCCACCCTCGTTAGCCCTTGGCATCAGGAGACATTTTTCATTTTTGCCAATCAGGTGGTGTGAAGCCACATCTCACTGAGGTTAGAATTTGGTTTTGCTTGTTAATTCCATCAGTCAAGTTTTGCTTTTTAATTAGGCCTGGAGTTTATTTAAACCTAACATATTTGCTGATCTTTTTGGATTTATATCCAATATATGACCTTTTCCTTTCTACTTATCTCACTTTACTTGGACTAATTTCTGACTTTTTCTTGCTTTTTGGGGGTTATACATTTTCTAATCATGACACTACTTTCTCACAGTTGATATGAAAACTATGTACTTAATTCCTCTTTCTTCAGTGGTTATTTCAATAATGCTCCAAGTATCTAATCCTAAAGCTAATCAGTTCACACACACACACACACACACACACACACACACACACACACCCTTTGTGAAGACAATTGTCCTTGTGTCCTCTAGGAGTGGTGGCTGCGGTGGTTTGTGTCCTAAGCAACTGAGCCATTAAACTGAAAGTTTTTCTGTCCCTTTGTGGTTGCAGCTCTCGAGGGCCTCCTATTTCATCCCCTTCCTCTTTGTGGACCCAGGGGTTTGTTGCTGTTGTTCGGGGACCTTTGAACTGGTGAGTACTGTAGCTCTAACTCATACTTGTTGGCAACTGCCTTCAGAGAAAAAGCAGCTATAGCACTCTGCTCTCAGTGTTGGGTTCCTCCCTTAGGAAAGCAACTAAAAAATGAACAAATCCTCTGGATATTTCTCAGAAACTATGAAGATGGTCTTCAGCTTCTTGGACCAATGTCAATATGGCTGTACCTGCAAAACAGTCCCCAGTTCTCTGAACTTGAATGTTGCTGTACAGCAGAGAATGCTGTTCTTCTTTCTTGAATCACTAAATCACTAACTCAACCCCTATCTACCTCTTTTTTCCCTTCCTTGGATGGACCACTATCTTCTCTCATCTCAATATTTTTATTTATATAATTTTCATAAAGAGTGCAATAATTCTTCACCAAATTCCTGTCTGGCATAATAAAATGCTGCAAAAAATGTAAGTAGATAATCCACTTTTTAATTTCAAATTTCAATTATTTTTTAAAAAACGGATACATAAAACTTTAAAAAGTATGCACTTGTGTAGAGTACCATATGATGTTTGGCTACATCTATACATCCTCCAATGTTCACTCAGGGTAAAGAGATCAATCTCCATTGTATCGGAGAGAGTTGGAACTATAGCGATCTCCGCACTCTGAATCAGATTTGAGTCCATTTATTTGTTTGGTTTATTTGGTTTTTTTTGGTACTGGGGATTGAACTCAGGTCCTTAGGCTTGCGAGGCAAGTGGTGGAAATGCTGAGCCAAATCCCCGGTCCCGAGTCCATTTATTTAAAGGGCAACCCAGAGGGGCTAGTGCCTGGAAGGAACTCTCGGCCCTGAGAAGAGGTTTGGTTTCACTTTTTAAACCATGCTTTCAGTTGGGGAAGGCTCAAGGGAGAGCAAGCGGAATTTTACAGGTGCAGAACCATGCCAGGTTAGTGGGGACAAGAGGAAGTTTCACAGACTGGGTGAGCTACAAAAAAATAAAATAAAATAAAAAATCCTGTAAGTGCAGCAAGTTTTCTGCCAAACAGGATGTGGGCTGTGGGTGCTTTGTCCAGCACAAAATGATGGTGAGGCTCAAGATGGAGTCAGGTTGGCCGTCACACCTCCTCAACTCTTTCTCTCTCTGTCTCTCTCTGGTCTTTTTTTTTTTTTTTTTTTTTTTTTTTTTTTTTTTTT